GTAAAATATCTGTATTTATGGCTAATTGTCGCAAAATAGTGAGAATTTATTGAACTTTATTATTCGATAATCAATACTACCTATTTTCAACTCAATCAAATATTCTAAAATCGAAAAATACTTTCTAAGTTCTTATATTATTAATTTATATTTTATTGATATTTAGTACTTTACAATATTTACGGAATGAATGAGTTGAATAAAATATAAATGAATAATATAAAATAAGGGAATGTAATTCAAAGCTGAAAACGGACAACGGGTCAACGGAAACTGTTATCAGTAATCAGTAGTCACCATATTTTGGTATACGAGTGGTAGATGATAATACATGTTGATACCCAATGCAGTATCAGGTACTGGTGTCTGGTACTATGTTCACCGTTTACCGAGTTCGGTCGTTCGGTGTCGTCCAGAATATTAATACTTGGTATTGATTATTAGTTGACGCGGCTTTTGTCATTTAATTCGTTAAGCGTTTAATTGGTTTTTTTTTCGCTGTTAATCGAACAATTCGAAATGATTCGCTTCATTTTAATACAAAACAGAGCAGGAAAAACTAGACTAGCCAAATGGTATATGAACTTTGACGACGACGAGAAACAAAAGCTTATYGAAGAAGTGCACGCAGTTGTAACAGTCAGGGACGCCAAGCACACAAATTTCGTAGAATTCCGAAACTTCAAAATAATTTATCGAAGGTACGCCGGTCTATATTTTTGCATCTGCGTCGACGTGGGCGATAACAATCTGTGTTATCTGGAGGCCATACATAATTTTGTCGAAGTCCTCAACGAATATTTCCACAACGTCTGTGAACTAGATCTGGTGTTCAACTTCTACAAGGTATACACCGTGGTTGACGAAATGTTTTTGGCCGGRGAAATTCGGGAAACGAGTCAAACTAAAGTCTTAAAACAACTACTTATGTTGAGTTCATTAGAATAAGTTATTATGATGTTATGTCTTMTAAGCAAATATTTTACATTACCAATACACTAAATACTATTTATAATTTATTATTACTCTATACCATAATGTATTCTTTTTTTATATATATAATATATACATACATAATAATATAATGCTATTTACGAGTAACGTGTAATTATATTATAATTAAAATAAATTACACCCAATTTATTTTCATCTCAAGACATATTTTATGTGTGATAAGAGATAGTATGATATCCTTAATTTTATCCGCCCCCTAGAGATAGTAGTCCTGCAATTAATATTGAATAAATGAATATTACAAGTTACAACTTACTATWGGAATCTCGAATACATTGTTATAGTGTTAATTACATTTTGTTATAAAATAAAATGGATAGCTACAAATTGTTGAAGTTTGGTGTAATTTTTACTGTTGGTGTTATCAAATTAAGTGTTTGGATAATTTATATGAAATAACTTACGTCAGTTGAGGTAAATTGTAGCTTATCGTTTAAATCTTTTCCACAATACTTGAAATATTCTTTCATGTGTTTAGCAACAACTTCTTCTTCGAGGCATAAGCTTTCTTGCTCAGCATTCAGAAACCTTGTAAGATTTTGAACGTTGAATGTGTCATCAGCTGAACAATACATTGAAAAACATTCATTGAAAATCTATGAAAATGCAAACAGGTATTAAATAATGACAYAATTTTGCGGAAAAWTTKTTCATAAATATAATTTTTACCCCTGAATTATAGATAAGTTTATTATAGAGAGTGACAAACTCATCAAAATTAAGCTCGTTGCGCTTCCTGGTATCAACTTCTTGAAACAACTCTCGTAGTTTACTGGTAGAAATTTTACAATGAACACGAGGAAAAAAAGATTTTATATCTTTCAATGTCACTCTATAAAATATAAGTAATTGTAATTATTTTATTTWTAACTCAAACKAGATTAATTTCTATAATTGGGTATTATAAGAATTTTTTAATTAAATGAAACATTTTGTTTTAAGTGATYGATTTATTTTTGTACTAACGTTTCCCTTGAATTTTCCATAGTATAAAATTCTTTTCGCAGCCATCTTTCAACTTGTAATGGATATGGAGCACAAACAGTATCGTTTACAAGATGATATAAACCTTTGATCCATAGTTCACACTCTTGTTCGGATAATGCTATAATACAGGTAATTATAATCAGATATGAACACAGGTAAAATATCAATAAAAATAATAAATATAGCACACTTAGTTATACCACAAAATTTATATTTGGAGTTTTGGTCTTATTATGATCAATTATTATAAAGCACTATAGCTAGCCTAAACACAAATTTTAACTACTTACTTAAATTACCAATTCATTTATCAACAATTATTATTATTTGACATGTATTTTATTAAATTTTACCGGCTTAGAACCTAACTTTCAAAAATATCTTGATATTTATTATTTAAGAGTCTAGCACCGAACATGAAAAGAGTAAAATAAATATTGAACTCAATAAAAATATATTC